TGGATCGCGGACGTGCTTGCGCAGCTCTTCGCCGCCTTTCCGTCGCGTGTGTTGCCATCCTGTTAGTTTGCGGCACTTAATTTGGACATGAAGACTTAGTTTGTCTTACACGAGAGGGTGTCTGGTGGCGTAGGAAAAAGAAGGTAGCTGAGTGCTTTGGGCATATGCCAGACTGCGTTGTTCTCTAAGTGAAACAAATTCCCCGACGAGTCTGTCTGAGTGACGCCTTTGATGGCTGCAAAGTCTGACTGATACCAGAGGACGCCAAGTGATCGCAACTGCCTCTATAGGGAGACGAGCAGAAATGACCTGATAGCTAAAGCTGCCCTTCAGGGAGAGCGTTCTGTTACTTCTGCTTTACTTGAGCTTTCTCAGTTATTTGTGTCGCTGCTAAACCATGTCAGCTTGTTTAGATGTGCTGATGAAGCTTAGGTTTGTATTTTCTGGCACAAGTCCATAAACATCATTTGCTCTTTTTTTTTTTTCTCTCTCCCCCTACTAGGGTGAAACCAGTGATTTTGAGTTGTTAAAGCATCAACTGTCAGATCCAGACATAAAGGTAAGCGTTTTTGTAGTGAAGGGTCTGATGACCTAAAGCTTAGTTACAGATGTGAGTGTAATCATCGGGCAAGTGATTCTGGTGTTTAAAGCAGTTACTGTTTTATTATTATTAATGGGCTTATTGCAAGTAGATCAGTTTAGAAAAGTGCCTGTCACTTGCCTAAATGCTTTCCTTTAAACATTTAGCAGCATTTAACAGCTCTTTGCTTTGTGGGAACTATCAAAATTGAAAGTCCAAACCAAAAGCCAGCAACTGTCTGTTTACACAGAGACATGCATCTTATATGCATGACCTTGATAGGTATTCAAGCGACAAAAATGTCAAAAGCGACATTTACTATTTTTGTGCTCTAGAGTGGGAAACTTTTTGCTTTGTGCCAAGGGCCTGTCGCTCTATGTATGGATTACTTTCGTAGATCAGTCTGTTGTCTTTCCTTCTGACTTTTACAGCCTCTAAGTTACATTAATGTTTACTTCCTTCAGTTCTTATTAAATGTTTAATTAATTAGGCAGTGAGATGCATGTACATTTAGCGTTTGTACCCAGAAGTATTGTTTTAAGAGCTGCTCATTACAGCCATAAGTACCCATCCTGTCTGCCATCTTTGTTTCTTTTTTTTATTAAACCACTAAACTATAAGAAGCATGTTGCAGCAAGTATAATGCCAAATTGAGTTTCTCCTCTTTTTAAAGAGGATGTTGTGTAAAATTAATTGTTTTTAGCAGACTTTTCGGAGACTACAGGCAAAATCAATGTAATATTTCTCTGTAGATCTGCTGCTGTTCCACTATCGCTCTTATTTCAAGACTTGGATGGCCTTTCTGCTTAAACTAAGAGCAACAAGAAAAGAAAAGAGAATTAACATTCTCTGAGCTCCATCTCTTTTAAATATATTCTGTTTAAGTCCGGTTTGCATCCCTTGCCCAGACTTTAAGTTAAATATTTCAGGCAGGCTGTTGCTTTGAAAGATGCTATGCATTTATTCTTGCGTTGAAGAACTTTTATTAGTAGGGAGACAAACTTAGTCTGAGAAATTCTTGTCACATTAACGTGAAAATAATTCCTATTTACAGTCTTAATCTTTGTTTTGTCATTTTAAGGTTATTTTCTAGTAATAGGTCATATTATTTATTGAAATTGTTACTTGTTTTTTTCTGTTTATTTTAAGGATGCCCAGATCATTAATTGGCTGCATGAATTCCGAGCTTCTGTTGCATACTTGACCAAAGATCTTGAACAACTGGTCAACATTTTGCTGGTAAATATCTGTTTGCTATATGCAAAGATTAAGAGTTTAGTACTTAAAATATCTCTGTGTTTGACATCTTCATCTTTACTTGCTTTCAGAAGCTGCCGTGGTTGAGAAGAAGCCGAGATGTAGTTGAAGAATATTTAGGTTTTCTTGGCAATCTAGTGTCAGCACAAACTGTCCATCTTAGGCCATGCCTCCGCATGATTGTATCGCAGTTTATTCCCCGTAAGTTACTTTTTTTAATTCTTCTTTACTGGCTTATCAAAATGTCTCTTTCCTAGATTAATTCTATTAGAAAACTAATCCATGCTAGAATTAATCCAATTATCATTTTTTTTCTGTTGATTCCTTTTTTCACTTCAATGACTGAATCGGAACACAGTCCATTTTATGTACCTTAGATTTCAGAACACACATTCTAATGGCTAATACAGTCAGATACCATTTCTGAAAATGTCTTGGAGAGGGGTGAACTGTATTATGTTGTTATAATTGAAAAAACAAATGCTGAGATGAAGATCATGTCAATGTTTTAGAGAACCTTCTGGCTCTATGAATAAAACAGTTGATTGCAATAAGCTGAATAAAAAGTCAATTATAGAAAGTCATGGGGATAATTTTGATGCTTTAGTTCCAATGAAGTCTGTCATCCAGTGTACTTTGATTTGGCATCAGAACTGTTACCTATACGATTTGTATGGTTTTACAATAATAATCTCACTTTTTGCTAGCTCGGATAACTATCAGAGAGGATGATGTGGACATTTCAGATTCTGATGATGATGAAGAAAGTGAGTATAAAGGAAGCATGGGTTGTGTATACTATTGTACTACCTTTAGTAAACAAGTGTAGCGTGCATGTTGGTTCTTTTTTTACTGAATTAATTTAGCTGAGGTAAAACCTCTGTAAAGAAGCAGTACGTTCTTAAATTCCCGAGTCAGAGGATTTATTGAATTTTTTGAAATTCAGTTTCTTGAATCAATGGTGTGGTGACCTCTCTCTCCTTTTACATACTGCTATTGGTACAATATCTGTAGGGATAAGACAAATGCATAGGAGAGCGTTCCCAAGCCTCAGATTGTTTGAAAACTGAAAACAAGGAAATTAGTTCTTTGGTTTCATTTTGTTTACCTAAATAAAAGTAGCTAGTTGTGGGGATCAGGTTGATTTCTATTTAGATTCTTAGATCTTTTGTTGTTTGCCTGCAGTGAGCTCAAACCCGATTGCTAATAGGTAACAAAAATGCTGCATTATTAGTGTGTTTATGGAATAGGCCACAGGATAGCCTTTCAAAAATTTCATGTTTTTAATCTTGCATGCTGGAATAAATTTAATTTCCTTGTGATGAGTGAAGTACAATTCTGGGATTCACTGTGGGTCTGCTTGGATGAACCAAGTCCCCTTCCATGCTGTCAAAAAAAAAAAAAAGAAAGAAAGAAAGAAATCCCCACTGTATTACTGTACTATTATAGAAGTCTGATTAGTTGTTTGTTGACTGCTGGGAAAAGGAGGCATAATCTTTCAATATATTTTGGCTAGTTTCAGACTCAGATGTAACATCTTCTAACTATTTTTGTATTGTGGACTAAATTTAGGATTTCTATATTTAACATTTAGCGTGAGGGAGTAGAGCATCAGTACCTGGTTTTGGTGGTGGCAGCAGATTCAGAGTTTACTGATTGTGATACTGTGAATTTTGTTCAGAATTACTGTTCACAATAATTTTGGTAGTAAAGCAGTCCAACTTCAAAAAACAGTTTTGGCAAATGTGATTTCCTTGGAAATCTTCAGAATGCTTAGTTGATATGAACTATTTTTGCTTGTCCCTGAATTAGTCCTCTGCATCCAACTTGATAAGAATACTTTTTCTTTTTCTAGACCTTTCTGAAAACTTTAATACGTGCCATAGAGCACTGCAAACTGTAGCAAGATATGTTCCTTCGTAAGTATATAATCTCGTAGTTTTGTATGGCCTTTCCTTGCAGATTTAGAGCTTGTGAACTGATGAATTAATTTTTTTTTGTTTTTTCCTAATATTCAGTAACTGTGGAATGTTGCATCTTACCATTTTGAAGTTTGTATAGATCTCAGTGGCTGAAAATTAATTTTAATTAGTATTAACTAATGTTAATTTTAATGGAAATAGGAAGTGGGCGGAACATCATGTTCATAGCAACCTGTTTGAAGTGGCTCCTAAGTCAACAGCGAAAGTTTGCTGCTCATCATCTGTTCTGCTATACTGCAGAAACAGATTTTGTATAATTAGTTATCTTAAAAATAAAAATTATGAAATAAGCTTATTCCAGTCTTTCTTTACAGAGCTGGAGCTTCAATACTTGCTCTCATGATAACACTTGTAACTTCTTTTTTATTGCAGAACACCACAATTTCTTATGCCAATACTTGTGGAAAACTTTCCTTTCATTAATAAATCGGAAAGAACGCTGGTAAGAACAATAAATGTATCTTTTTGGATTTTGTTTTGTTTTATTTTTTTATGTATAAAAATATTCTCTAGTATGGCAACTGGTTTGGTAATATTGAGCACAGATTTTTGGCTGTATTGTTTTAAGAATCTCCTCTGTGTGAATGCCTTAGAATAACTGCAAGGGAGCATGCATTTTGTCCTGTAGTTCACGGCACCGATGCCCAAATATACATTATATATACATGTATACATGTCTGTGGGCATCTGTTTAGCATGAAGGTTGTCCAAGCATACTTAAGTTCCTTGTGCCTAAGCATTATGATAGTCTTTAATGACATAACTGCATATCTTTTCCACAGGATTGCTTTCTTAATCAATGCACAAGATGGAACTCTTTGACGATGAATCTCAGGGTTGTATAGTAAGGCGATGGTAGGATACCTGTCTCACTTGTTTTAAAAATTGGAAAGTATGTAGCCAATGAACAGGGGATTTGATAAGCAGACAGAAAGCAATGGATGTTACAGCTGAAATCAGTCTGCCAGCAGGGTACATCTCTGCTGTGTTGCTCCTGTGTGGTGAAAAGCAAGCTGGCAGCTTTTCAGAGGTTACTGCTCTTGTGCGATCTTTGTTTTTATGCTTCCCAACTTGTTAACTGGGCACCTGCTTTACGGAAGGGCAGAGCCCTGCCGCAGCAAACTAGGTCGATTGGAGCTGTGTTTTGAACTTACCAGGTTGTGGAAAACCTCAAGATTGTTTGTATTTCTTGCTGGGTTTTTTTGTTTTACGCAAAGAACTTTAAGCATCAGATCCCTGTGAGGCTGATAATAGCTCTTACCAGGTGTTAAGAGAATAATTTGATTTAATTTTTAAAATAGTTCAGTGAGGAGCATGTTGTGAAGAATTTAATAATGGTCTTGAGAGTGAAGTTTGAATGGAGTATAATTAAAATATGATCCATGCATTCTTGTTAAATATTTTCAATTTGAAGAGTCTCATGAATTAGTTCTAGTCATCTTATACTCTAAGTGTGGCAGAGGGCCTGTGGAAAAATCATATGTATTTATGTAATTAAAGGTTGTGGTATAATGCACATTCACGAAGAGACTATGGCATACTTAAATGTGGCGCTTTACCTAATTACCTTTATCTAATATGGCTACTTTAAGCTTGACAGTTTTGCTGTATGCAAGTTGCGGCGCTCTGCTTTGTATCAATGTGTGTATAGGAACGTGCGCACTCACGTAACTTGCTTGTTAACCTCTTTGAGTTATGCGCCGAAGAACTCTGGGAAGACCTATCTGTGGAACTCAGAATTGTTTTTGAATCTGATTGTTACAATAACCTGAAATAGAGATGCATTCAGTCCCATTTTAAGTAGTTCTACTGGATCTGGGTCTAGACATAGTAAGAAATGCGCATGTGGTTTTCATTTTTTTTCTAGAGAAAGTTTAGACATAAACTCCTATGGAAATTAATATTTAACCCTTCTAAGTTTATGCTCATTCTGTCCAAAGATATTTTGAAAAACTAGCGTGGAAATAGTAGATCAAGAGTTAATGGTAACACGGCTTAACAATTGAAAGTTAGTGTTTGGATTACACATTAACTTATTGTAGATTGAATATGGTCTGTTTCCATCTATTTTTAGAACTCCCGCTAAGCAATTAAGAAGCTTATTTTCTAAAAAACCTTTGGCAGAAATGAGACTCCCAGTTAACAGTACTGTTATTCTTTCAAGATATTCTTTTAATTTTGTGTTATAGGAATGTTACGTTCATAACTTGCTGCGAATTACGGTGTACCTTCCAACGCTGAGGCTTGAAATTCTGGAACTTATTGTTGAAAGGCTGTTAAAGCTGGATGTAAGTCTATTCTGCATCACCTTTTAAGGAAGCTTGGTGTTAAAATGCACAAATTTAAACAATAAAGAGAGACTCTTCAGTGTTAAGCTCAACAGAAGTCATGTTCCAGCAGTCCTCATCATCATAAGCTGTGCAACAAACAAAGTTTACGCTACGTTGGTAGTCTTATCACGTTGCTACACCTGAGGGTAACAGTATGATGTGTGATGTTACTCGCTGCATGGAAATTCCATGCCAGAATCAAAATAATCTTTTCGTGGTGATCAGTGCTAAGTTGCAGAGAACGTACTTCTCTTTGTATGGTTGATCTATTTTTACTGTTGCCTTGAAATGAAGGGGTTTGTGTTCTTAAAAAGACAGAAGGAGAAGCATTGCAAATGATTAATGCTCTTTATTTTGGAGAACCTCAGCATATATCAGTCTGTTTTGTATAGGGGGAAAGCTTATCTTCTGGAAGTAAAGTTCTGGGCAGTCAGAGTGTGTGTTCACATGTGTGTTACATACATATCAATCCCTTATTAATGTATATTTACTCATGGATAACATCTAGCTAAAAGTTATTGGTATTATGATTTCTTGAGTAATTAATAAAGCAAGGTTTCATATTATTGCCATAGGCTTACAAAACTTAATTTCTTGTTTGCAACTGTAGGTTAGCACTCCACAGCAAGACATTGAAGATGCTGAAGAAACTGCTAATAATTCTGATAGTGAGGAAAAATCTACAGAGGAGGGACTCTTTGACATGGTTGGCTATCTTCTGCTAAAAGCTTTGTTAAAATTGTTATTTTTGAGGCGACTCTGAACTATGAAATGGGATAGCCTAGGAATATATTATAACTTTGTTGTTGCTGGACTATGAACGTATAAAGCCCAGATCTTGAAACCTGAGCAGCTGATAAATGGCTAATCTGTTCTCCGGGTGCCGATTTATGTAATATCGAGCATGCAGTCACGCTGTGGAGCAATTTCCTTATGTAAAGACACAAGCAGCTGTATGTAAACCTTATTAACGAATTCACGGTAGTTGGCTTAGCTTACGGAAACTTGCTATGCTAAGCTGTATAGTTAGGTGGTGGTGTTTTTTGGTTTTGTTTGTTTGTTTCAACTTTCAATAGCATATCACTGAACACCAAAATTTTGTTTCGCTGTTCCTCTGATTGCTGTCTTTATGGTATTGTATGTATAAAAGATGCGTGACTGCCATTTTACCTACCAGGAGGAAGATGAAGAAACAAAAGGGAACAAAGTTGCCTCTTCTGGTAGTGAGAGAATGGCCCATCCACTTGCAGAGCGCCTGGACATTTTGATGACCATTCTATTTTCTTATATTAAAGATGTCTGCCATGTAGATGGTAATATCACCTGAGCTATAACTGATTTTTTTTTGTTTTGCTAACAAGTAAGAAAAACACAAGCGGAGATCTTGCTTATGCTGCTGCAAGATGGAGCTCTGACTCTTCAGTGGTCGAGTTCTGCTATCAGCAAGCTGTCGCCCAGATTCTTACCTTTGTCAAGTGTTTATTGGAGGAGGATGCAGAGGTTCATTTATGACTTTAAGGTCTATTCTTCAGTTGCAGGCATTTTGATCATATAAATATGACACTATATCCAAATTGTAACATTACAAGGGTAAATAGAGTTTTGTTTTTCCATTGCACTGCAAAATTTTTTAGCAGATTGGAAATACTTACTGATTAACCATAGTATTTGACCATTTACTTCTACTGTGTTACTTGATTTGAGCATTACAATTATGGTTTCGTTCTACATCATAAGCGCTAGAAGTAGATTAAAACACCAGCCACTCCACTCAGTTGAAAATGCAAAAAAGGCTTTATGTTACAGGAAAAATACTTTGCCTTTTTTGATGGAATAGTGGCTTTTTTTTAAGGTGCTGTACTTTTTAGAAAACACTTTATCTTCTTCACATAATTCAGGTTATGATAATTTATTGCATAGTGTCTCCTTCTGGGTCCTCTAAGTTAACACATTATTGCAAAGTTTGCATGCCTGCCAGTCTTGTACATGTGCATGCACAATGATATTTTCCAACATAACAAACATGAAAAGCCTTAGAACTGCAATCTGGGAAGGTTTTAAATGTCAGATAAGCCCAGAAGTCAGTATGACAGTGTTTCTTTAGATATCAGATATTTATAAAAGATATTTATAAATGTCATTTTCACAGCCTGAGGGCAGGAAAATCCAAACTGTTGTTTTTTTGTTGTTGTTATGTAGGCAAGCTTGATATCAACAAGACAAAAGATTTGTACCGGGATCTGGTTTCTGTTTTTGACAAGCTCATTTTACCAACGCATGCTTCGTGTCACGTACAGTATTTCATGTTTTACATCTGTAGCTTCAAACTGGTGAGTAGACTCTTTTTTAAAATGAAATGTCTTTTGTTATTTCTGATTGCTTCTCTTTGGTTTTCGTACGCAAAATAGTTGCTTTCAGTTGACATTGTAACGTTACCTTCCATTTGTCTGAAAATGGTGCATCAATACTCATTAGTCCCTTTGCTTTCTTTCCGTTTTCTCTTATTACTTTCTACAAGTTTTGCATTATATAGTTGCTCATTCCATGCAGTGCATAACCTACAAATAACTGGAATCTAGGCCAGCTTAAAGGAACTTGGTTAGTACAGCTTATTTACAAGAATCACTTGGACTTTTCAACCTGAAGCACAGTGCTCTATCAAATTCTTTCAGCATCCAAAAACTGTCTTATAGATACTGTGTTAACTCTTTAGTTTGGACATCATATTTACTGTATTCTTCTCCACTTTCCCCTCTCTCTTAAGCAAAATACTGCTGTTTCTAATACCGCATTTAAACAAGAACATCTATACTTTTTGTATAAGAACATCTGAAGATTCGATTAAGCTAACGCCCTGTCTCTTGACAGTGGTGAATAATGGATTTATTGGAAAGAATATCAAAGTGAGGCAAGCGTATTACGATGCTTTGCCAGAATACCCTCTCAGCCTCCACCGATTTGTGGTCCAGTAATTTCCTGAGCCAGAGTGATGTTCTTTTATGGTAACAGCCCATGATGGACACGTTCAAAAGGAAAATACCTCATTGCTTTTTGTACTGATAAGAATTTTTGGTATCCAGAATTTCTGTGGCAAAAAGTTGGACAAGATAACCATTTACTATGTGAAGAATGACTTTTTGTTTCCCTGAGTTCAGCTTCCTGCTATTTTTATTGGATACCCTCTACCTCTTCTGCTACAAGCTTCCTGCTTACCTTTTCCTTAATGCTCTTGATTTTAAAGACCTCTCCTGTGTCTATTCCAGGCTTTCCTAGACTTCAGGTTCCACTTACTTTTTACAACTAAACTAGAGAAAAAGACACAGAAAAGAGTACAGATTTTTAAGTGCTCTTTCCATCGTGTGTAGGAGTAGTTATTTTTTACAGTGATAGTTGGTTTTGGGGGTTCTGGGGTTGGTTGGTTATGGCAGTTGTTGGTACTGAGTATTAGGAATCTATTACTTATAGGGGCATCAACATAACAAGTAATGATTTTCATGTGTCTTGTTTCCAGGGGTTGTCTGAGGCATTTTTAGATCATCTTTGGAAAAAACTGCATGATCCAAACAATCCTTCAGTGATCAGGCAGACTGCTGGGAGTTACATTGGCAGCTTCTTGGCAAGAGCTAAATTTATTCCGGTTGTGTAAGTTGTTTTGATCTATGGGCAGAGCTAAACAATTTATAACGTTTGCCGAGGATTCTGTACAGAGGTGCACTGTTGGTCTTCTGTTTGCATAGCTTTGCCAGTAAGCCTGTATCAGTAGGCTCGTTGGTACTTTCTGCAGTATGGTTTCAGAATTTTCCTGAAGTTTCTGGGGAATTTTGGTATTTATAGGATGTAGGCTAATGTCTCCCGGGATTCAGGACTTGTTATTTAAGGCTTCACTTAACTTACCAGTGCTCAACATTTCTTGTTATGTTGGCTTCTGGCAGAGTCACGGATGCTCAGTATTTCTGATGTTCAGACCCAGATATTCTTACATGAAATGCCGAATGCAGGTGGATTGGACATCTAAGTCAAGTGTTCAAGTATTTTGATGCAGATGAATTCAAATACCTCAACACATGAGTGTTCTTTTATACACGTACCTTCTGTGTTTTTATCTGTTCAAGGTTCAGTGATTTGAATGTTGAACTTAAATAGACGCTGGAATTACTTGTTGGACGTGGGAGGCATCTGCCTCTGTGCTACTCATAGCCCAGGATTTTAAATATTTATTTAATATTTATTTAATATGTAGTTGTTATTTACTGTATGGGTCACACATAAAACATGCATTAGTGGCATCTTGTGCTTTCACTGTGTGGGGTTTTCAAAGCTGATGCATCAAATAATTTTCTGCTGAAACAAAAAAGAAAGCTTGTAACAGAATCTACTTTTTTACAGTGTGATTTTCTTACTGATGGTTTTATAACCTGAGATCTTTGAACACTTGCTAACATCTGTTCTATAACAGTTCACATGCTATTCTTACGCATTGTTTTCTCCATTATAGTACAGTAAAAGCATGCCTGGATCTTCTGGTTAACTGGTTGCACAAATACATAGATAATCAGGATACGGGGACTAATGCTTACTGTGATGTAGCTCTCCATGGGCCTTTTTATTCTACGTGTCAGGCGGTTTTCTATACGCTTATTTTCCGTCATAAGCAGCTTTTGGAAGGAAACTTAAGGAAAGGTGCGTACCTTCATACTGAAGGGAGTTTAAAAGATTTGTTTGAAGGCTTAATGGTTGATATGTCTTGTAATGGTCAATTCAGTCAAGTAACTGATGGCAACTTTATGTTGTTGTATTTTAAATGAAATAAGATGGCTTGTACACGTGTTGGGCTACCAAGCTAAGTGACTTTGGCTTTTGCTATTCAAAACAAAGCAAATAAGTCCTCGACCTCAATTTCTAGCCACACTTCCTGAGCATGTTTGAATTCCAGCTGGATTGAACTAGCGTGAGCTTCAATTAGTGACCTGTCAGAGAGCCTATAATGGTTCTGTGCCTCTGTCAGTCCCTGTAACACAGGCATGTAAGTGTAGTGTCCACATTCCTAGGTAACAGTGGTGGTGGAAAGGTCCCTCATACTGTGTGACATGTTGCCATAAATTAGAATAGTTTTTCTGCTGAACAAGCTGTGAACAGCATATAGAATGTGCTTCTGTAGTTTTGCGCAGAGTTTTTAGAAATTAAGTTAAGCTTCTATGACATATAATGGGTATTTGTAAATTGTTCTTATTTTGAAGGTCTGTCGTATCTGCAGAGTTTAAATTTTGAGCGCATTGTTATGTGTCAGCTAAACCCTCTGAAGATTTGTATACCCTCTGTCGTTAACTTGTTTGCTGCCATTACCAGGTACCTATTCATTTATTTCAATTTCAACTTAATACAGATTATATGAGAGTGCATATAATAATAGCACAGTAGTCAAAACTCATTTGTCCTTTTTTTTTTTTTTTAATGTTTCATAACTGTTAGGTATAGTATGAAGTATTAGCCCAAGAGTAGTCCTATGATATTGCTCATATTCGAGGCAGGATAAGTTTATTTCTGGTTCAGATTCAATAAAATATTGCAGTACTAGAAAACTGTTTCGTTGCTTTATAGTGGTGCTAAAGTTGGTAATGTGTAATGGCGCTGACGCTCCTTGGAGTGAAGTTTTCTGAAGGGCTGAAGAAGAGAATAGACTTTAAATACGCTTCTCCTGTTCCGTGAACCCCTAATAACAGTTGCAAAGCAGTAGATAGAAGTGATGTTTGTTAAATATAACACTGTATGTTACTAACATCGGAAATCCTTGCTTTCTGTGCTCTAGGTATGCTTATCTTTTCTTAATTTTTATTACTTTTTTAAAAGGAAATACCAGCTGGTGTTCTGCTACACAATTATTGAGAGGAACAATAGGCAGTTTATACCAGTTGTTAGGAGCGGCACTGGGGGTGACTTTGTGCAGACTTGCACTAACCCACTTGACAGTTTCTTCCCCTTTGATCCATACATGCTCAAAAGGTAAAGTTTAGAAATAATCAACTCATTTCTGCCTTGTAGAAGAGAATGAACTAAAAGTTGTAAGAAACTTTCGGTGTTTCTATGGTATACTCTCTTCCCTGAGTTTAGTACCTTTCACATTGCATATTTTAGCCAGAGATTGTCAGAGGCTTAAATTGAAATTTAACCCCATTATGTTACATATAGATGGAAGAAAGAACAGGACTCGGTTAAGGACTTTCCTGTTAAGGTCCAATTAATATGTTGGTTATATTTTGTGACTTTTCTTTTGGCTTCCCTTGTTTTAAAGAGTCCTTAAAATGTCATAATGTTAGTACGTATTTTGTTGGGATTGTGGTGGTGGTAGTTTCTTGTACCCTGAGTGTAGTACTTTATGATTGGAGACTTCAGCTTATTTAAAGTAACTTGCTTTCTTAATGCATAGTGGTTTATTTGCAGCTTTTCAAATTGTCTAGGTAGCACTTTGGTGCTTTAAATACTTTTTCCTTTAATGTTAGAGAGCCACAACCCATTATGTTATGTCTTTAAAAAAAAAAAAAAAAGGCTCAACAGAACAGAGACCTTCCTTAGAAGAAGCAGAAATACTTAAAAGAAGTGGTGTATCAAATTATCTTCTGTAAATTTGGAATAAAATTATGCATAGTCTAGCTAGTGTAAAATACCCAACTAGGAATTAGGAGATCTAGATTTTGTTGTTTGCAAATCTGATTGTATCTGAACTCTTCAAGTAAAGTTTTAATTTCTACCTGTCAGCCTTTCTGTCAGCAAAATGGAGTTATTTCTTCACAAACACATTATAGGGATTAATTGGAAAGTTTGCCAAGCATTTTATATTGTATTACTAAAACAAAATGTATATGGTAATTACTTG